TGTGTGTGTGTGTGTGTGTGTGTGTGTGTGTGTGTGTGTGTGTGTGTGTGTGTGTGTTTTGCAGGAGATGAGCCCGGGCGAGGTGACCCTAGAGGGCCTGCTGGAGTTGAGCGAGGAGCAGGTGTGTGAGTTGCTGCAGAAGTTTGGTGCCAACGAAGAGGAGTGCGCCCGACTCAACGCCTCCCTGTCCTGCCTCAGAAAGGCCCACCAGCTCGGTGAGGGTCCACGCAGAAACACACAGATAAGCTCACACAGATACACACATTATCATTCAAATATCTGACTTTAAATAGCCAGTTACCACTAGAATCTGAAAAATTACATTCTTAACTAGTTTGAAATGTGGCTTTGTAAGTACATTTCTATTTAACTTGGTATTATCTGATGTACAAGCTTTCAAAGGTTTACAGTAAAAGACGACTATGTTCCCCTGTCATTATCCCTTATTAAGTGAAAAAAGTAATCTCGGCTTATTAAATGCTTTTTTTGTAAGGTACGAAAAAGACAGTATAATAAGTTAAAAGAACAAACTAGATGATTGGTACAATTCTAAAGACATGAGTCTGAAATTCACCTTACATACTATGTTACTTTAGCTTCAGCACTTAAAAATATGGCATCCATTTTTTTGGATGGTTTCCAGGTTGATCCTGCCATTGATTGCCATAACATTTCTTTTTTACGAAATGTAAAAATCTTGTTTAGCTAAACTGTCCACAGCTGCGTCGTCTCCTGCAATGTCCATATGCAAGCTTCTCTTTCGTTTAGGACGTCTCAGCACACAGGATAGCACAGATATTTTAGGCAGCAGATTCCCCCATTTTAATCCTAGTGGTGTGTTACGTCCTCTTGAAAACAAACTCCTACATCAAAGCTTTTAAACAAATCTTTATTGACAATTGTCAATATACAGATTTGGCCTGCATGTTATATTTTACATGTAAAGTGTGAGCTAGGGGTGGGCAATAACGTCAAACACTTCTCCCATGGCATTTGCCATTTTTGATAACTGTAGTTATTATGTAAATTCAATTCAAAAAGTGCTTAAGATAAACGTACCATACTCTCATGAAATGTTGATTTGGAACTCCTGAAACAAACATAAACAACTATCAAGCATAAGAAAACGGAAGTTAAAAACATAAGACTCAGGACAATTATTTCAGCTATTACAGGTTTTAAGGTTAACAAGAATTAGATGGGGACTTTAATACACTGAACAAAAATATAAACGCAACACTTTTGTTTTTGCTCCCATTTTTCATGAGATGAACTCAAAGATCTAAAACATTTTCTATATACAAAAAATAACCATTTCTCTCAAATATTGTTCACAAATCCGAAAAAATCTGTGATAGTGAGCACTTCTCCTGTGCAGAGATAATCCATCACACCTCACAGGTGTGGCATATCAAGATGCTGATTAGACAGCATGATTATTGCACAGGTGTGCCTTAGGCTGGCCACAATAAAAGGCCACTGAAACGTGCAGTTTTGCTTTATTGGGGGGGTCTGGGGGGGTCTGAAAACCCTAGGGTTAAACCCTAACCCTAACATGTCACCCACTCACATGTTAGGGTTAAACCCTAAAACATTTTTTAATGTGTCAGTGTGTGACATGTTAGGGTTAGGGTTAGGGTTAAACCTGACTGGTTAAACCCTAAAA